TCCAGAGTATCTAATTCACAATAATGGGAAGTTCTCCTTTTTCTTAGATTTGAGCACTGTACGTGTTGTCTTAGGCTGTGTTTTCTTTTTTCTTATTATGATTAATTTTAATGAAAGTTTACAGAGACTTTGTTTTACAACAGTGGTACTATGCAGTGTTTGTCCTTTAGTGACTGAGATATTTCACTCTGCATAATGTCCTCCAGGGTCACCCATTTTGTATGATACTTCATGAGTTCCTTGTTTTTCAAAGCAGCATAGTATTTCATTGTGTGAATATACCACAGTTTCTCTATCAATTCATTTGTTGATGGGCACTTAGATTGTTTCCAACTATTTGCTATCGTGAACAAAGCCATAATAAACATGGGTGTGCATATATCTGCTTGGGTGGCAGTTCTGGTTTCTTTGGGGAATATTCCCAGTTGTGAAATTGCAGGGTCAAATGGTATCTCTATTTACAACTTTTTGAGAAAGTGCCATACTGTCTTCCATAATGGTTGCACCATTTTACACTCCCACCTACAGTGAATAAGGGTTCCAGTTTCTCCACAAATTCATCAGCATTTGTTGCTTGCTGTTCTGTTAAATTTTGCTATTCTGACCAGGGTAAGATGATATCTCATAGTTGTTTTGATTTACATCTCTCTTAGAGCTAGAGATTTTTAACATTTCTTCATCTGTTTGCTAGCCATCTGAATGTCTTCTTTGAAGTGTTTGTTCATATCCTGTGCCCATTTTTCAATTGGGTTATTTATCTTTATCTGGTTGTGGTGATCAAGTATTTTATAAATTCTAGATATAAGTCCCTTATCTGACATGTCATTACCAAATTTCTCTCCAATCTGTGGCTTCCCTTTTTACCTTGTTGGAGAAGATTTTGGATGTGCATAGGGATTTGATTCTTAGAAGATCCCATTCATCTAATTTATCCTCCCCTGGGTGTAAATTTTTCAGGATGCTTGGAAGACTGTTTATGTTGTGGATTAGGACTTCTAGCATTCTTCCAAGCTTTTCTTTAATGAAGTTTATAGTCCTTGGTTTTATTCATAGGTCCATGGTCCACTTTGAGTTGGTTTTTGTGTATTTAGTCAGGTATGGATCTTGCTTGAGTTTTCTGCAGACAGTTTTCCAGTTTTTAAGCTATGTTTTCTATAAAGAGACAAAATCAAGGCAGTTTTCACTTTTATAGAAAGAAATATTTAAATCAAGAATATGAAACATTTGCTTGTAGAATGTGTCAAATATCCATACATAATCTATGCAGTCCACACCACTGATGAAATTCCTTTCCAGCTGATTGGCTGTTTTTAGTAGATCTCGTCATTGAGATGATTCACTATATCTAATCTCATGAAGAAAGTTGTTGTTATTGGTGGTGGTGGTGGTGGTGGTGGTGGATGTCATCAAGCCCACCACAATCCATAACTACATTATGAACAATAGATCAGAAACTTGCCCTTTCCTGTGCTACCCATCCTCAAGATCTCTAACGCACTCAAGCCCACTGTAAAAATCATTTTGCCAGCTTATATAAACTCGTGGAACCTTTGTGACATGTGTTGGTGTTTGCTTTTGGTTTTTTTGTTGTTTGTTTGTTTTTGTTTTTTTCATACCTTTAGAAAAGCTTGCTCGCCTGGGACATAGCTTCCAGCTGCTTATCAGTTTCTACACCACCAGCCAGCATCACCCATAGTCATCACCTAAATTTGCCACAAGTGACAGTCCACAGGATCCTGGCCTATTGCTCACCAGTTTCTCCAAAACAAGCCTGCTGCCTATGATCACATTGTGTCATTCCCCTGATGAATCTGAGTCTCTGGGAGACCTTCTAGTGAATCTGAAACCAAGGGTCATCGAAGAATTGATTATCTGAGCCAAGGATGACACTGTTTGTATAAAAAATTATAGATACATGCAGCTGGTTTAGCACTTGAGACTATGCTGATCTAAGACTTCTCATATATAGTCTGTTATTAATCTTAACAGGACAGATATGAAAACAACAGAACAAGAAGCAGTACTCCAATCAGAAAAGAGAACACTGTATGGTTTAAAATGAGGAAAGGTATGTGTCAGGGTTATAGCCTTTATCCACATATTTATTCAACTTGCAGGCTGAGCAAATAATTTAAGAATCTCTAGGGAGTTGCACTGTGAACACAAAGATAGGCTTTTCCTAACTTGGGCACTCTCCTCTCATGCACTGTAAAGAAGGCTTTGACAGAAGATTTCACCAGTGCAATATATCTTGATTTCCTGACTTCTGTTACTGTGGCTACTGACTGTGGTTCCAAGTAAAATGAAATCTTTGAAAAAAATCTCTCTTTTTATCTATCATAATGTTGTGTATTTGTATATTCTTGATGCTGAGATGTAACTAATATTGATGGCTGTAATCACTGATCTTCTTTAGTTAATATTTCAAGTCCTCTTTGCTCTCTGTAAGCAAGGTTGTGTCATGTGCATAACGAAAGTCATTGTTGAATATTATTCCAATTCTAACGCTACATTCTTCTTCATACTTTGCACTTTTTTACTTCATATTTTTATGAACTCAATTCAACTCATTGCTGTGGAGTCAGAACCCTCCAGGTAGGTTTTCAGAGACTAAATTGCAGAAGGTCTACTTGTGTTTTATTGACTAGAGAAAGGTATTTGACCATGTGGAACATAGCAAATTATAGCTAACACTGAAAAGAATGTGAATCAGAGACCATTTAATTGTGCACATGAGAAATCTACACTTAGATCAAGAAGCTGTTGCCCAGAGCAAGGGAACACTGCATGGTTTAATGTCTGCAAGGGTGTATTTCAGGGTTGTACCCTTTCTACATACCTTTAAATCTGTATGCTGAGCAAATAATTCATAAATCTGGACTCTATGGTAAGGAATGTGGCATCATGATCAGTGAAAGACTCACCCAAAACTTGTGTTACGTAGATGGCACAATATTGCTGTTCACAGGATCACTGTGGTTATACTTGACTCAATGCCACTTAACAACTTTTTGCTTTATTAAGAGGAAGTCAAAACTCTTATTCTTACAAATTTTTGGTATATGCTCTAGTCAATTTTCTCAGAAATCCTTCTTTAAAATCCTTTTCCTTTTGTTGAACTTTTCTTTATTCTATGTATACCTAAAGATTTCTTTTTTTCTTACCAAATGGGCCGTTGAGTCACCTGTGATCCATAGTGACCCTATGAACTACTCGGAAGCCTGTCCAATCCTGAGCCAAATTAATTACTCAAGATTAACTTTTGCTGTAATATGCAAGTAAGGCATAGAAAAAGAAAATTAGTATATTTCATTCAAGGATAGTAAACTGTATATCATTGCTATTGTTAATCAACTTGAAAAATACAGAGTTTTAATATGGGACTAGAACTCATTCTTATTAATAAATTTCATTGGTTGTTTTTGTTTTTGTTGTTGTTGTTAGGCGTCATTGAGTCAAGTACAGCTCCTAGGGACCCTATGAATAACAGATCTGAACCCTTTCCTATAATGTGCCCTCCTCACATTCCCTTACACTTTAGACCCCATTGCAGCAGTCACTATGTCAATTCACTTGGTTGAGGATCTTCCTCTCTCTCCTTCATTGACCCTCTACTTTTCTAAGCATCATGTCCCTCTCCAAGGAACAGCCCGTCCTAGCAACATGCCCTAAGTATATGAGGTGAAGCCCCATCATTCTTGCCTCCGAAGAACACTCTGGACACATTCTCTCCAAGACATAATTATTCATTCTTTTAGCATTCCATGGGATGTTCAGCACTCTTCTCCAAACCAAAGCTCAAAGGCATCAATTCATCTCTGTTATCCTTATTCATTGTCCAGCTCTCAGAAGCATAGCAAGTGATTAAAAAAGCCGTGGCCTAAATCAGACACGCCTTAGTCCTCAAATTGGCATTGTTACTCCTCAATAACAGAGAGGTCCCCAGCTGGAGACTTAACCAGTGCAATACATTTCCTGATTATCTGACTGTTAGTACTTAATTGTGCTCATGTGGAACCTACCTGGACCAGGAGGCTGTTGTACAAACAGAGCAGGGGAACAGTGCTTGGTTTAAAATCGAGGTGTTGTGATATCTGCATAATGCAGGTTATTTATGAGTCTCCCTCCAATCCTGATGCCACAGTCCTGCATGTTCTCTATATATCTATTCAATCTTCATGCTAAGCAAGTTATCCTAGAGGCTGGACTCTATGAGGAGGAGTGTGGCATCTGATTCAGACCATGGTCTTTCTGATTACTTGCTATGCATCTGGGAGTTGGACAATAAATAGGATGACAGAAAAAGAATTGATGCCTTTGAGCTGTGGAGTTGGAGAAGAGCACTGAACATCCCAAGAACTGCCAAGAAAACAAAAAGATATGTCCAGGAGAAGGTGCAGCCAGAGAGCTCTTTGGAGGCAGGAATTATGAGGCTACACCTCACATACTTTGGTCATGTTGCTAGGAGGGGCTGATGCTGTGAAGTGTGAAGGGTTGGTGAAGGAGAGAAAAACCCTCAGCTAGGTGAGCTGACTGCTGCAATGAAGTGTGAGGATGGCATAGGATATAGGACAGGGTTCAGATCTAGTGTTCATATGGTCACTCAAATTCATGCTTGACTCAACAGCACCTAACAACAACAGTACCAAGGGTGTTTGTTGTGGATCCAATCAAGAGGAAGGTGTTGACAGTTCCCCTCCATCCATCACATCATGATGCTACCTATAGGTCCAGTGGTAAGAATCATTTAATAAATGAAGTTTCATTTTAAAAAAGAGAAATATATATATATATATATATATGCAATTCTAATAAAAAAGGGAAAGAAGAATTTATTGATGAAATGAACTAATACAAAATATATAAATTGCTCCAGCTTTAGGAGCTAAAACTATAATTTTTTTTTCATAGTCAACTAAGGTGTGATTAACATTTAAATAAAAAGGTTCTTTAACACTTAAGCACAAAGGTTGCTCCAACAGTTATAGGATTCACCTTACCAGCATTTCTTCTGAATCTGTGTTTTATGGAACTTCAGATGTTTAAGTACTTCATTCAGTTTAAGACTATTCTTCTGAACACAAGTCCAAGCTGCAACAGAATGCCAAAGCAAATGGCTAATTTCATATCTTTCACCAACTTGCAAGTATTCCTGGAAATAAAACATGAAAAAATCTTTCTGGAATACAGTTGTCTCATTTGAAAAAAATTTTAAGTATACAAATACAGTTGTATCTTTGTTTACACTTCATGTTTCACCAAGTAATATACACAAGTCTGATTCTACAAGCAACTGTAGTTAATATAATTCATTAATAATAATAAATTCCTATTCTGTCACATGGGTCCACTGTGTTCATTCAATGACACAAGATTGACAGCACGACAAAATCATTACATCCCCTAAGAAACAATCACTGGAAACACACAATTGTTAATCTTTATGACTTAGTTTTCCTTGGCATCTGAAGAAGAGGATGACAGGGGAATTATTAACACATTGCCGCAAATGACGGTAATACATTTAAAAAAAAAGTGTTTCAAAGCATGGTCGTCAATTTAAAAATGTGTGGTACTTTTAAAGTTATGACAATGTATTAAGAGCAAATTTAGTTTCAAAATATGGATTTTCACCTTGAGGGTCAAAATGTACACCCAGCTTATATAGTCAATATCTCTTTTTTCCTGTGTATTTTATTATATATTAATTAGTGTGATTTGAAATTTGTGTGGCTTTAGAGGTGTGTTCTCTCTGTGTTGGTGTGAGAAGGCTCTGGGTCATCTTTGGCTGGCTGGAAGGCAAATTTTGGGCCAGACACCCCCAGCTCATCTGGCATGTCCACTCTGCCAATCCCCATGGAAACCTCTTGCTGGGAACCAATGAGAGCCTGAAGCGTGGGCCTGTGGCCTTTTAAAATTCATTTGGTTGTCATTGTTGTTGAAATGAACACCTAAGTGATACAGCACTTTTCTGTTGTTTTTTTTTGTATTGAGGTAACTTTGGTTTGCTGTAATACAGAACTTTATGCCATTGGTCGGTCAAGTGCTATAATGGTTATACATGGTTGACAATACCTGGTTAGCTAACAGCTTAAGACTGGCTTGGAAGCAGGAGTGGCATCCGCTTCCTAAACATGCCTGTGAAAACTCTATGAACTTAGAGAAAGGACAATAGTTATAGAACAAGGATAAAATCTTTTGTTTATGGCATCAGTACTAGAAGGCACTTAACAATAACAATATATATTGCCAAACCCTTGTCTTCCATTTTGGATTTTAATGGCTCGACTCTGTATGATGGCACTTTTGTTTGGTTGAGAATTTCTATGGATTGTTTCATTATTTAAGCCTCTTGTTTAGAGTCAACAAGACTTCTAGGAGGACACTTGCATTTATGGTCAAACCCAGTCGCAAAAGGACAAATATTACATGATGTCACTGTTGTAGAATGGGACTAACCTCGGGGTTGGGGAGAGACTGAGTAAGATGGGTTCAATAATGTATACTGCACTGAAACAGAGGAGGGAGAAAACTGTTTAAAAGAGATATGTGACTAGGTATTTCTGTAATCACAGGAGTCTAGAGCAATGGCTACATGGTGGAGGGGACCTGGGGGAGGGTTTGTAAAACAATGAAAGAATCTTCTCTTTTACTTTTCCATAATTTTTGACTCATGTACTTATAACTTGTTAGTCAAATTTGTGTCTTCTAGGTTGCAACACCCTCATGATACATCTTCAAGGATATGAACATGTACGGCTAAACACAATCAATAACAGTGCATCTAAATTCCAAAATCAATCTCCATAATAGTCTATGTGTTTCCTACTGCCAAAGGGGCCCTTTAGAGTAGTGAGAAAAGACCTTCACCCTGAAACCCACAGCGTCCCTTTTCAGTAGGAAGTAGCTAAGAGAATACGCCATCCCCTTTTCCTTATGAATCAGGGTGAAGTCTCTCTCAGGGAGGAGTGATAGGGAATGGCAAAGGACACACTGACAAAGGAGATTAATCAGAACTGACTTTGACAAGCACTGTGGCAACTGGACAATTAAAACAGACATTCTGATGGTGGGGGAAGAAGAACAAACTGGGGAGGAGGGTAGAGAGAATGGTGCAGCAATGAAAGAATGAAAACCCAAAATCCCTGTAAATGTTCATTAAAACTAATAAAATTTAATAACAATAAAAAAAATTTTTAAAAAAGGCCAAACCCTTGTCTCAATTTTGGAAGCTGGGTGAAGTGATTGGACTCTGTAAAATGGGCTTTCTTATTTTGGTTGAGGGTCATTGTGAAATGTTTTTCTTTGCCTCCTCCTCCTTTTTTTTTATTAAGCCTCTTGTTTAGAGTCAACAAAACCTCCCAGAGGGCCCTCATATTTAATAAGTCAGGTCTGAGGGATTATCTTTTAATCTTTTGCTACTATATTTTGGAGGACAATTCTACTGAGTTGTACAGCACTCTTCTGTCAATTTGCTGTGCTGAGGTAATCTGGGTTTGCTGTGATGCTGAACCTTGTACAATTGGGGTCTCAAATGCCATAATGGCTATCCATGGTGGACAGGGTTTGGTGGAGCTCCCAGTTTTAAGACAGATTGGGAAGCAAAAGTGACACCCACTTCCTAAACTATACACCTCTGGAAACTCTATGGACTTGGAGAAACGATAGTTATAGAAAGGCCTCAGGTCTTTTGTTCATGGAGTCATTAAGAGTCATCCCCAACTAATGACAACCAACAACAACAACAAGGTGATTTGAGTAAAAGTTAACAAAGTATATTGTTTTTACATTGTTTCATATACATTTTATTCCACTACATCAATTACAATATAGTCAATGTCATCTAAGTATTTTAAGAATCTACAAATTCAGACAACAGATGAATGCTTTTATTATGCCTCCTCAAACCCTACTCTCTATTGCTCCCTATGGTTTTACTGATTAAATTGGTCTAGTGAAATAATTGGTGTAAAGGGATCTGATTTTATTGCTAGATAATGATGATAAAACTTTTATCAGAGTAAAACTTGAAATATACATCCTGTGACAGGTACTCAGTTGCTAACTATTGCTAATGTTAAGCTGATATTACATGCTTCTACACTCAAAAGGAAGAAGTAAAGAGAATTGAAAGGGTTTTATAGTTCTCAAATATTATATAAAATATCAAGATCACAGTTTGTTGTTGAACACTCTTAAGACAGAAGTCCAAGAATGTGTTCATAAATATTAGACTAAGACATTTTGACAGTTTTTAGCGAATTATTTCATTAAGTCCCACAGAACTGTGTATTACTCCACCTCTTACCAGGAATTGTCACATACTGGCTATAAAGATATGTGTAAGACAAAGTCTCTCCACTAGACTACAGGATTTTGGGAACAATAATTCAGAAAAACAAACAGAAACAAATCAATGTTTAAACTGTTAGAGGACTTCACAGAATGCTCTATCTTAAAGTTATGTTAGGCACCAGATGGACACACGCTAATTTCTTCAAATGCATATATTTTACCCAAATAACTCAACTTAATTATCTGCTTTAGATTAGAGTCCACCAAAATTTGAATTCATTTAAATAAAGTTTTTTTCCCAAAATATTCTAGTGGTGTCAACCAGGAAGCTTAACAGTCCACATATAACAAATTTATTCTAAATAAATCAGACTTATTCCAAATAAATCCAATTTATTCCAAATAAACAAGTAAATAGAAATGCTTTGAAATCTCTGAGAACCTTGACTAGTTAAACTCAATCAGTTTAATCAAACTTTCTTAAAATCATACATATGCATGACTACACAGATTATTTAGTGGTGTAAAAAACCTTGGTGTTAACATACACTCTTTCAATGGAGAAATTTCTTTGAAAGCAGACAGACTTTAAAAAGTCAAAATTTAGGCACTGAATAAGATTTAAGTTTTATTTTCAATTTCCTAGGATGCCAGAAATTTTGACATTAAGGAAAAAAACTTCTGATATTCAGACACTATAGCTGGGACATTTTATTCTCCTAGTAACATAAACACACTCACAGAATACCAACCTTAGACCAACCTACGAAAATAATAAAACAAAATAAGGCTATGTCCTATTTTTTTTTCCTATGCATTTTACTTATTTTCCTCAAAGTTACTCTGCCACCTAAACATTACCCAATCTGGGAATTATTTCTGCTTTCTGATAATCAGACTAGAAAGAGTCCTCACTTTCCCCACCATTCTTTAAGTCATCCAACTAAATCTCTAAACTATAATAGCTTCTTATTTATGGTTTTCTATAACATCTACTCCCTATGCAGTAAAGAGAAAACAATCCAACTTACGGTGTGTTCCTAGTAGTGTTGGCCTACTGGGTGCTCCCATCATCTAAAAATGAATCTTATTACATTCTGTAAGTTGTATATATAGCTAAAGTTTGCTATTAATTTGCACATATTTTAGATACTTCAAGAACTTCAACAGGAATCCTACTAAAATGTGTCACTTGCTTTCTCCAAAAGAAAGGTAAAATGTACCATTTTTATTAATATAATGATGATGGTGTGATTTAAGACCACTACTACATACACTGTCAATGTACAAAAGCAGGAAGAAAGAGCAATGTTCTGACAGTTATTAGTGGTATACAGTTCTTTAGCTTTACCATAAATTAATCATACTCAATGTACAGATGGCAGGTATCATTTCTAAACTATTAATAGAGTGCAGAAATAAAGAATAAATATGTTTATCATCTGCAGGAATAATTTAAACTAAAAAGTAAAAGTTGGAATTGATATTCAGTGTATGACTTTGAGTCTATCCCACCTGAATTTCAGAACCATCTCAGGAACAGGTTTGAGGTCTTGAAAACTAATGAGCAAAGACCAGATGAGTTGTGGGAGGATATCATCCAGGAAGAGTGCAAACGGTCACTGCAAAGACAGAAGAGGAAGAGAAGACCAAAATGAATGTCAGAAGATACTCTGAAAATTGCACTGGAGCACAGAGAAGCCAAAGCAGAAGGAAGAATTCAAGATACTGAAGAGTTGAATAGAAGATTTCAAAAGGCAGCACGGGATGACAAAGTAAAATATTACAATGAAATGTGCAAGGAGTTGGAGTCAGATAATCAGCATTTCTTAAGCTCAAGGAACTGAAGAACAAATTCAGACCTCGAGTTTCTATAATCAAGGATGCTTTGGGCAGAATATTAAATGATCCAGGAAGTATTAAAAGAAGACGGAAAGAATATACTGAGTCACTGTATCAAAAGGAATTGGCAGACACAGAAGAATTTCATGAAACAACATATGAGCAAGAGCCTATGGTGATGAAGGAAGAAGTTCACACTGCTTTGAAGGAACTAGCAAAAAATAAGGCCCCAGCAATAGATGGTATCCCAATTGAGATATTTCAGCTAACAGATGGTGCCCTGGATGTGCTAACCAAGTTGTGCCAAAAAATCTAGAAAACAACCACTTGGCCAACTGACTGGAAGAGATCTATATTTGTTCCCATCCCAAAGAAGGGTGACCTAACAGAGTGTGGAAACTATAGAACAATATCATTAATTTCACATGCAAGCAAGGTTCTACTGAAGATTATCCAAAAACAACTGGAACAGCACATCAACAGAGAACTGCCAGAAGTCCAGGCTGGGTTTAGAAGGGGTCATGGTATTAGGAATATTGTAGCTGATGTTAGATGGATCCTAGCTGAAAGCAGGGAATACCAGAGGGATGTATATCTGTGTTATTGACTACGCAAAGGCGTTTGACTGTGTGGATCATAAAAAATTGTGGCTGACTCTGAGATGAACAGGAATCCCAGAACACTTGATCATGCTAATGAGAAACCTATACTTGACCCAAGAGGCAGTCGTCAGAACAAAGCAAGGAAACACTGTATAGTTCAAAATTAGGAAGGGCATACACCAGGGATGTGTCCTGTCTCCATACCTTTTCAAGGTGTATGCAGAACAGATTATCCGGGAGGCTGGGCTCTATGAGGAGAAATGTGGGGTCAAGATTGGTGGAAGATCTATTAATAATCTGTGTTATGCAGATGACACAATCCTGATCGCTGAAACTGAGGAGGACCTGAAGCGCTTGCTGCAGAGGGTCAAGGACTGCAGCCTACAATATGGATTGAGGCTCAATGTCAAGAAGACAAAGATTCTCACCACTGGGCCAACTGACAGCATCAGGATGGATGGTGAAGAGATTGCGATTGTTCACAGCTTTAGTTTGCTTGGTTCCACAGTCAAAACTCTTGGCACCAGTAGCCAGGAAATTAAAAGACATATTGCCATGGGAAAATTTGCTGTTAGGGACCTCTCCAAAGTACTGAAGAGCAAAGGTGTCTCTCTGGAGACTAAGGTGTGTCTGATACAGGCCATAGTCTTTGCTATCACTTGTTATGCATCAGAGAGTTGCACAATGACTAAGGAGGATAGAAGGAGAATTGATGCCTTTGAGCTTTGGTGCTGGAGAAGAGTATTGAGGGTACCATGGACTGCTAGGAAAACAAACAGATTCATCCTGGAAAGGGTTAAATCAGGCGGCTCCCTAGAGGCAAGGATTCTGAGGCTCCGTCTAACATACTTTGGGCATGTTGTAAGGAGGGACCAGTCCTTGGAGAAGGACATTATGCTTGGTAGGGCGGAGGGACAGCGCAGTAGGGGAAGGCCCTCAATGACGTGCATTGATTCCGTGACTAGGGTAATTGGGATGGGAATGTCAGTGTGATTGACAGTGTGATTGGCACAGGACAGACTAGAGTTTAGGGCTGTTGTACACAGGGTCGCTATGAGTTGCAAGTGACTCAACGGCACATAACAACAACAACAATACAAACAGATGTGTGTATACCAATGCTCATTTCAGCATTATTTAAGATATAAAGTAAATGAAACAACCCAATGAATGAATGGCTAAATAAACTATGGTATGTTCACAGAATGGAGTGTTAGGCAACACTAAATAATGACTAAGATTTCATTAAATACTGTACAATATGAATAAATTTAGAATAAAATATTCTGAGTGATATATCAGTTATAAAAGGACAATTATAGTATAAAGCCATTATTATAAATAGCTAAGGAAAGGTTTGTTACTAGGAATGGGAAGAGATAAGAAAATGAGTTAAAATTACTGGAATATACAATAAAGGTTCAATTGTCATTAATTAATTATATTAATCAATGGTAATGAATGCTATAAAACAAAATATATATAAATTATTGCATGAAAAACAATATTATTTTGTAAACTTTCATTCAAATAAAAAACATATATAGCCACAAACACATTTAAAATAATATTTATAGCTTGAAAACTCACGGATGGTCAAGTTTATACTGAATATAAATTAGAAAAGCACAAAAATATTGTATTTGTCCACAGGAATAATCTGCACTTCATTTTAACAATTACCCTTTTTTTAAAAACCCTAATAATATTACTATCAAATGTTATTTTTAAAGTCCCTCTACATTAATGTTGAAATTTTAAATGGCTGTGATGTAATTAAGAATAATGTATTACGACATTTAAAGTGGTAATGGTGCACATTAATCTTATTGTATACAATATCCATTACTAGTCTTATTTTATACAATCCATAAAAAAATGTTACATAAATTAGTGGGTTTTCATGTTTATTAAACAGTTAATCATCAGCAAAGCTTACTGGATTGACAAGCACAATTACTTTACCTTCTTATTAGAATGTCCTTCTGTGTTTCCATTAGAGTTCAAAGTTGATTTGGAAAGTAGTACTTTTTCATAAAATATTTCTGACGCCTCCAGGATGAACACCACATTTGAAAAGATGTTAGGATACTTGTAATACATGTCTTCAGATAAAGTAAGTGCTATTGTAAGAAAAAATTACTTTGATAAATAATTCATCAATATTTTGTATTGTATTTTAGTTATTAAGCTATAATTAAATTCAGTACTTGGATACTAAAACTGCTGCTGCACATTTCCCTCATCGATATAAGATTTATAATGTTATGTGTGACCCCTGGTGGTGCAATCGAAAACTACAAGTTAAATAATGCATACACAAGTCTTGCTATATAATTCAGAAAGTAATCACTTAATGGCTGAATGCCCAATTAAATGTAGTTACTGCTCAACAATGCTTGGAAGAACCAGCTGAAAAGAAATTCTGTTACATTAGATAATTTATTCATAATGGATACTTGGAAGTTATAATTTGCAAACAACTCACATCATTGTTTTTACCCTTTCTCTATTTTTTTCCTTTCCAAAATGTTATGATTAATTTTTTATAAGCCTATTCTAAAATAGCTTCTGTGTTGGATGAGGCTCAGCTCTAAACTGTTTGGTTGGTGCTGAGTGTGGACCAGAAGCCTCTTGTTGGAGCCAATGAGAGCATGGTGTGCAGGTCTGGGTTTTTTTAAAATTCGTTTGCATTTTAATTGTTTGAAATGAACATACTTCTATTATGGTACAGTATTGTTATGTCATTTTGCTGTACTGAGGTAACTTGGGATTGCTGTGATATTGAATGGTGTGCAACTGATGTGTCAAATGCCATAATGCCACACGTGGTTGGCAATGTTTGGTTGGGCTCACAGATTAAGACAGGCTTGGTGGCATCCACTTCCTAAGCATGCCTGTATAAACTGTATGAACTTAGAGAAAGGAAAATAGTTATCGAATAGGCTTAAGGTCCTTTGTTTACACTTAACAACATAAAACCCACAACATATAACGCCAGACCCTTGTCCCCATTTTGGAGTTGGGTATACGGCTGGACATTGTAAAATGGTTCTCTTGTTTTGTTTGAGGATCTGTGTGGAATGTTTGCTTGCTTTTTATATACGCCTCTCGTTTAAAGTCAACAAGACCTCCTGGAGGGCCCTTGTTTTTAAAAATTGGGTCCAAGGGATTATTTGTTAATTCATTTGTTACTATATTTTGTAGGAACGTTCTTCTAAGTCATACAGCACTCTTATATCAGTTTGCTGTGTTTGCTTTGATGCTGAACCTTGTGCCATTGGGGTCTCAAATGCCATAAAGTTGCCCATAGGGGGCATTGTTTGGTGGAGCTCCCAATTTAAGACAGGTTTAAAGCAGGAGTGGCATCCACTTTCTAAACCATATGCCTCTGGAAACTATGAACTTGCAGAAAGAACTACAGAAAGGACTCAGATCTCACAGGGTTGCTATGAGTCCTGCTCTACTCGATGTCAATCAACAACAAAAAATATTCTAAATATGGTTAAAAATTATGCCATTAAGCATAATGCTACATGCTATTTCACAATGTCATCCCTTTCTCCATCTATCATAATTTTGACAATTGGTCTTGTGGTGAGGACCTTTGTTTTCTTGATGTTAAAATGTAATACACAACCAAGTATAACCTTGATCTTCTACAGCAAACATTTCATATCTTCTTTACTTTCAGCAAGCAAGATTTTTGTCATCTGCCTAACACAGGTTGTTGATGAGTCTTCTTCAAATTTTGACACAACATTCTTCTTCACAAAGCCTGACTTTGTGAACTATTTGCTCAGCATACAGATTGAATAGGCATGGAGAGAGAATACAACCCTGACACACAACCTTACATACTTGCCTTATATCTATATACCTTATATACTTTATATATATACTTCAGTACCTTTTAACTCTTAAACATGTTTAAAACTTTTTCACTCTAGCCCATTTCCAGTGTAACTGGATACTTTACTATTGCTAGCCTATATTATGTTTACATGTCTTTGACCTCTGCATCCACTCCTTACTCTAGCATCTTCGTATTCACTAATGTTACTTTACTAGAATACAAACTTAACTTTCTAGCCACAGTGAGGTAAACAGTTACATATGAAGAAACTGGTTGAAAAGTAATGTTAAATAACTAATTAAACAGCATGAAAGGTGAACACATGCATTAGACTTTGAAGGTATTCTATTGAACTCTTTTGCTATTAACTTTCATTAAAAATAAAATACAGCCTATCCTCTTTACAATGAATGTCTAAGCTTCTTAGAAAATTATATAAAACATGTGTAAGTTTAGAAAATAAAATATAGTCTACCGTATAAATATGGATGAAGCCTAAGTAAATGTTCTTTAAAATTTTCTAGGTGACCATGCAGGAAAAATATAAAAAGTCGTAAGAACACCAAATAGCCAATCTGTCAAAAGAAAAAGAAGAAGCATTTTCATGTTACATGAACAAATATTTAAAAACTTTGTGTGTGAGGGAAACTTATTTGATTACTACATTTCCTCTTGAGAGAACAATTGCAAGGTTATTTGTGATTATGTGGATTTAAGACAACTTTAAAACACTTACGTCAAAGTTGAAACACCAGTTCACCCAAAAGTCCATCACTATGGTACACATAATAATCATCTATGAATATTGTTTTGTTCCATGTTCTCTAGGATGGATTCTTTTACATTATAAGTCATGTCTTTTACATTAGTCATGAAATCAATTAAGAAGTTTGTGGGGGGTTTTGGTTAAACTGAAACACAATGAAAAATATTACAACACATTGCACATTCCTCGTTTTAGTATATAAATGAATATGTAAGAGACATAAGCACAGGATATACACATGGATTTCACCTGATGGTATGCATAGGAATCAGATCAATTACATCTGCGGAAAAAAACTGCTGGAGAAGCTCAATATCAGCTGTGAAAACTAGGCCAGGAGCTGATTGTGGAACAGACCACCAACTTCTCATATGCAAGTTCAAGCTGAAGCTGAGGAAAATTAAACCAAATCCACAAGAGCCAAAATATGACTTTGATTTCATCCCACCTGAATTTCAGAATCATCTCAGGAACAGGTTTGAGGCCTTGAACACTAATGAGCGAAGACCAGATGAGTTGTGGGAGGATGTCAAATGTATCATCCAGGAAGAGTGCAAACGGTCATTACAAAGACAGAAGAGGAAGAAAAGACCAAAATGGATGTCAGAAGAAAATCTGAAGATTGCACTGGAGCGTAGAGAAGCCAAAGCAAAGGGAAAAATTCAAGATACTGAAGAGCTGAACAGAAGATTCCAAAAGGCAGCTCAGAATGACAAAGGAAAATATTACAATGACATGTGCAAGGAGCTAGAGTCGGAAAATCAAAAGGGCCAAACTCGGTCAGTATTTCTTAAGCTCAAGGAACTGAAGAACAAATTCAACCTGGACTTGCTATAATCAAGGATACTTTAGGCAGAATATTAAATGATCCAGGAAGTATTAAAAGAAGATGGAAAGAATATACTGAGTGATTGTATCAAAAGCAATTGGCAGGTACAGAAGAATTTAATGAAATAACATATGAGCAAGAGCCTATGGAGATGAAAGAAGAAGTTCAAGCTGCTTTGAAGGAAATAGCAAAAAATAAGGCCCCAGGAACACATGGTATACCAATTGAAGTATTTCAGCTAACAGATGCTGCCCTGGATGTGCTCACCAACTTGTGCCAAGAAATCTGGAGAACAACCATTTGACCAACTGACTGGAAGAGATCTATATGTGTTCCCATTCCAAAGAAGGGTGACCAAACTGAGTGTGGAAACTACAGAACAATAGCACTGATTTCACATGCAAGCAAGATTCTACTGAAGATTGTCCAAAACCGACTAGAACAGCACATCAGCAGAGAATTGCCAGAAGTCCAGGATGGGTTTAGAAGGGGTCATGGTGCTAGG